GGGGGAGCGTCTTGGCCTTCAGCAGCTCGCTGATCGGCGGCAGCAGCCGCACACACTGTGTGTGCTGGTATAGCATCGGTATGTGCAGCGGTCGACCAGCGATGATATGAGACCGATTCACTTCAGTCAGTGGCCGTCCGTCTGTGTCTGTCAGCGTATGAGACCTCCAAACACACAGAAAGTCAGATCAACGCGAGAGCAGCCGGCCAACACACACACACACACACAGACAGACAGATGTCTGTCCTTCCTGAATGACTTAGCGGATGTGATGTCCGTTTGTTCCCCACACACCACCGCCCACCTCTGTGTGTGTGAAACCACATGCAGCCCTCATTTGGCGGCTCTCACAGACGCCAATCGGCCAGACGACATCACCAAAGACAGAGCACTCACAGGGGCAGCACAGTGAGAGACAGAGACACACGACACGAACGCAGCCGTCAGTCAGACAGCCAGACACTCAACCACACACCAGAGTCACAAGCTTCGCCCCTCCCGCTGTCTGTCAGCCCAAAGACACCCATGGCTGAGTGCACCGAGAGAGAGAGACGCCTTCTGTCCTCCCGAACGACACAATACATCAGCACGACCCGATGGCCTACCTGTCTGTCTGTCTGTGTGCGATCGCTGACCAAATGCCCCCCTCCCACCCTCCCTCGCTAGATGGACTGTACAGATGTGTGTGTGTGTGTGTGTGTGATAGAGACCCCAACACACAAGCGGTCTGACCACTGCAGACGGACATGACTGCATCCTCCCCTCTCCCCAGACAGTTAGTCCACCACCCACCCACAATCACTCACGAGTGTCCCCCACACCCAATGCGGCAGACAGACAGACGGACAGACAGATAGACAGACGGACATGACGACCGCTCAGCCATTCCCACAGGCGGCCGGCTGTCTGCCTTCGCCCCCTCTCACACACACCAATCGGCCAGTCAGGCGGATCGCATCAACGGCCCCACGAAAGCATCGCACAGACTGCCTGGGCCGCTCGCACATTCGCGAGACAGAGAGAGCCAACCAGCCACACAGAAATCAATCACCACACCCCCTCCCCTCTCTGTCAGTCAGACCTCCACGGAAACAGACACACTGACCCACCCCGCCGCCACACACAAAGCTGAGCCGACTCGCGTGTCGGGCACATGTGTTCTCTGCCTGCGTGTCTGCACATAAGAAAAACACCAGCATGCAGCCCTCACGTTATCGCCTCACTGAACCGCACACACGCTACGCCGATATCGCCCCCCTCACTCTCTTTGTATGTCTGTGTGCATTTGCCCCCTCTCACACACACCAATCGGTCAGACGACATTCACCACAGAGGGCTGCAAGAGAGAGACCAAGAGAGACACACAACACACACAAGACACACGCAGCTGTCGGTCAGTCAGATGGCCAAAGACCCACACACACAGAGAGAGAGGGACATCCGAGAGGCACACACAACGCATTCAGGCAAACACAGCGGCCGTCATCACCGCACCCCCTCCCCTCTCTCTGTCAGCGGCCCGCACAGACACACTGCCCCGCTCGCCCCCGGCCATTTCGTTTATGTCACGTCTGCACACACACTGACAGACAGCGAGACCACACGAAACATAACGTCGTCCCTGCACATAAAAAAAGCAGCGTCCATCTCACTCTGTGGGTGGGGGTGGGGGGGTGTAAGTGAATTAGGCGCACAACAGACACATCATGAGGCTCTCCCTTCCCCCTCTCCCGCTGACGCTCAGAGTCTAATAACCTCACAGAAATCAGCGTCACATACTGCGTTGGGATTATAATCGCAGTCACTATCGTCCAAGCATTGGACACAACGGTTGTCGAGTACTGTGTCTTGCTGCTTACACCGGGGCTGGAAAGATTCAAAGCAGTCCTCATCTTCAAAGCAGCTAACATACCGCAGTACGCATTTTGCTGTGGCATATCGCCCGGTGCCGCCCTCGTTGAATTCAACCATGATGTCGACATGGTACGTGTCAAACGCCCTACGTGGCACCACCACAGTCGTAATTGTTTCCCCATTAATGCTGACGGATCCCGTTGTCAATGGTGATCCAGTAGGGATGTCCTGCATTGAGTCCACTCATCCACACGGCCGTACACACACCAGGTGCGCTGTGCTTACCACTCGGACCTCAGTCACGGGGGAGGGACTCGTCTCACCCACGACACCACCGAGGAATTCAGCCACTGCGATTACACCGGGAGCAGCATTCGCAGTACCGTCGGGCAGCGACTGAATGACCCCGATTTGAGACTGACACGACACACGAGTGCACACCACCCGCCCCCCGTGTGTGTCCAATGATGGACGGCCTTGATGGGTTCAGTGCCGTTGAGTGCGCACCTGGCCCCGGCCTTCGATGATGGTCGGTATGCCATTGGTTTCACATTTGTCCTCTTCGTCTTCAAACTGTGCCTTGGAACACACACATCTGCAGGCAAACAGACAGGACAGTGTCATGCAGCCACGGGTGTCAAAAGGTCATGGGCGTGTGAGCGTACACGACGTTTCCCGGGTGCAATCGCCTCTTCTCGGCCCCGGCCGCGGTGTCATTGCCGCTGGTCAAGGTGGGCGCTGTGTTGGGGCGGAGGAGGCCGGCACCACTCGCGGCACAGCGGCACCAGCCACGGGGGAAAGGCTGACAACACACATAGACGGCCAGAGAGCACACCAGACAGACAGACAGACAGACAGGTGTAAGAGTGGTGTGGTGTGTGAGGGCAGTGCCCACCTGCCAGTGAGACCACGAGCCACATGACGGCAGGGGATCCGGACAGCACAGACGACCGCATCACTGAGGCCTCCTTGGTCAGTGGGTGGGAGGAGGGAGGGCGACTGAAGGCGGCAAGAGAGAACACAACAAGGACCGCTTCGCCGACGGACACAGGCAAAGGGATTTGCCAGTGGCCGTTAACGTTGGAATGACCGGCACATTGTTTCGGCGCGGCCAGGTTGACGGAGCTCTTCTGGCCTCCTGATGGGGCGTTTCTTTGCCCTTCGTCTGTTGACAAAGTGCTCTCCTCCTTTGAGTCTTCTGCCCGCCCCCCTTCCCCCCCGGCGGCTGTCCTTTGAAGCCTTCAGCAGCCCCCGCCGCCGCGGCCCTGCTGCTCGTCGTCACACCGCCCCGGTGAGCTCTCACACACGTCTGGCCGAACATGGCCACAGCACATCGAGCACACTGCGTGTGTCCCTCAGCAACACACACGCTGCCGTGTCTCTAGAGCTCTCTCCCTCTCTCTTGTCAGTGGTTGCTGTGTGAGGACTACACAAAGGCACATCGGTGGCCGCCTACTTCATTGCGACACGACTGCGCTGTCAGTGAGGGCAGATCGACGCGATGGTGTTCGCGAAGCTCTCCCTATCTGCCGGCCCTGGCTCACAGCTGATGAAGGCATTCCATTAAATACTCCAAGACACAGACAGTCACACCGGAGCACCTCCCAGCCTCCCAGCTGGACCCACACACCACCGCACAGCCTGCGCATTCCGCGCATGGCCGTCAATGGTCTGTCTGCCCGGCCCCCCACAGACGAACGTACGACTATACACCCCTGCCGACATCTCTCCCTCTCCATGCAATGAGAACAGCCCCACGTCACAAACACGATTACACCCAACACGCGCACACGCGATTCATCTGTGTGTCTGCGTCGGCCAGTCACTCGTTGCCGCCGTCGCCATCCGACACCTCCGTGTCTGAGGTGTCCTTCTCGAACCGCGCCAGCACCCTCTGTGTGTAGCTGACCAAAAACTGCCGGTCGGCCTCACTCTCGAACACCCAAGACGGCAGATCCGATATCAGCCGAGTCTGCTCGGCCCGCACACGCAGGCCGTAGAAGAGACCCCGCTCACCCTGCACGGACACACACAAGGATGAGAGACAGCATCATGCCGCTGTGTGTGTGTGTGTGTGGGAGGGGGGCGTGTGGCTGACCAGGAGCTTTGCGGCGGGGTTGGTGCCGCGGATGGCCAAGTAGAGGGGCGGGACGACGGTCGTCAGCAGGTCTGGGTGGGGCGGCTGCCTTGGGTGTTTGCACAGCCGCTTCATGCCCTTGAGGGCGTCGAGGCACTCAGCCAGCGGGAGCGTCTTGGCCTTCAGCAGCTCGCTGATGGCCGGCAGCAGCCGCACACACGTGTCCCGCGCCTTAAGGCCATCATCGCCGCCAAGCCTGCACAAACAAATCGAGCAGACATCGATGCGCCTGTGTCGGTGCGTGTGTGGTCTCTCCGTGGTCACTTGGCGAGTTTGCACAGGTTTGCGAAGGCCTTGAGTGCGGCCCGTTTGGTGCGCGGCAGCTCGGTGCCGCTGGAGATGACCTGTGTGAGCCCCTCCACCAGCCTGTCCGACACGTCGGCTGCGATGATCTTGTCCCAGCCTTGTGGCAGGGCCAGCAAAGCGGCAGCCGCCAGCACCATACCCTGAGCACCGCCACGCAATGCTACCACACTCATGGCGTCGGACTGTCTGTGTGTGTCGAGTGGGGTAGGTACCTCTCTCGTGGCGGCATCGGACGACGAGAAGGAGTAGATAATGTCCTCAGACAACACCTGGATGAGGTGGATGAAGAGATCGCACACACACACCCCAATGAAATCGGTCTCTCGTGTGGATGCTGGTCGTCGTGTGCGCACCTTGTCGGCTTCCTGTTGGTCCATGTGCAGTCCAATAAGAGCAGCCAGCGCGTCGGCAGCCGCCTGGCGCGTCGTCTCCTCGTTGTCCTTTGTAGACCCACACGCAGACAAGTGAAGAGCACCACAGAAAGACAGCAAACACCTTAGTCTCGGGCTGTCTGGCGGTGGCGGTGGCTGGCTCGGTGTACCCGGGCTTTCAGCAATTGGAATGCGGTCTGCTCGACTTTGGGTCTGACGGCAGCCGGGGCGGCACTCGGCAGCTTCCGCAACACCGATGCGAGCGCCTGCATGTACCCGCCGCGAATGCTGATGTCCTGACGGCGACCACCACACCAACCCACACGCACACACACACATTTGGCTGCTCCTCTGACACTGTGCCTAAGCCGACCTCACCGTGGCAGTGTTGGCGGCCTCCTTGCAGAGCTCGTTGAGCAGGGGCTCCGTGCGTGCGCCAGGGAGGGCGGCCAGGGCCCCCAGCGACGCACCGCTCCGTCGCCTGACGAACTCGCCGCCCTGGGGGTCACCCAACGCCTTGAGGAAGGTCGACTGCAGCTGAGGCAGGAAGGGCTTTAGCGTCGCGCCACCGCGGTCCAGCAACGCTCTGACAGACAGACACACACAGGGAGGGAGGGAGTACACAAACGAGGGAAATGATGACTGTGTGTGTGTGTTTGGTGTACTGTACCTGAGTGCTTCGAGGATGGCGGCCTTGACGTTGGCGGGGAATCTGTCGCCGAGGATACGGATGAGGGGCCCCGCCAGTTTGGTGGCCCACGGCTTGAGCGCCACGGGGTCCATGTGCTTGACCATCTCACCTAAACCACACACACAGACACATGGGTGCGGTGGTTTGCGAGTGTGTGGTTCCCTTAGGTTGCCCACCGAGTCCCTTGGCGGCGACTTCTCGGTCGTCGGGCTTCCCGTACATCAGTGCTTGCTGAGAAACACACACACAGACACAGACACAGACACAGACACACATGCATTCGGCGGCTGTGTGTTGGTCGGATGGATCCCACCTGGTATACTGGTTGCAGCGCCTCGACGGCCGCCTTGAGGTTGAGGCCATCCAGCACGATGCCCTCCTCACGACCGCTCAGCGGATCGCTCACCAACTTGAACACCTCTCCACGCAACTGCACACACAACGCAGCGGAGAAGTGTCCATCCATCCATCCATCGGTGCCTTTCACCCTCCCTCCCTCCCTCCCTCCCACCTCAGTGACGTAGTTGGCGAATGTCTCCTTGGACACGGCCTTGGTGAGTGCAAGCAGCGCGTCGGCTCCCTTGGCGAGGGCGTCGCTGTCGGGGTCGGCCAGAGCCACCGGCACAATGACGGGCAGCAACACCTGCACGTACTCACCCAACGGCACCTGACAGACAGACAGACAGACAAACCATGGACGGCGCCAGACCACACACTCATCCTATCCTCAGCCTGCCTACCCACCTTGTTCTCAGCGGCCACGTCGAAGAATCGCGCCATGAGGCTGCCCAGGAGGGCCCTCTTGACGGGGTTGAGGGCGTCTTCCTCCACCGGCCCATCCCGCTTGACGCCCCCGGCAGAGCGGTCGATGAGCGGCCTGCCCTCCTGCAGCATAGTGCCCAGCTGCCCCAGCAAAGAGTGGGCGCCGTCCGACGTCACACGGTGGAAGAGCTTGTTGGCCGTGCTGCCGATTTCCTCGCGGAAGATGCTCGTCGCCACATCGACGTCGAGGCCATTCTCTGAGGCCAGGGAGCAAGCAGAGGGTCAGCAGCTGGTGGGTGGGTCTTCTCTTTGGTGTGTCGAGTCGTGCCTTTGATGAATTGTGTGTCTTGGTTGATTGCTGCGGCGTCCACGAGTGCCGGCAGGATGCGCGTGAAGGAGTTGTGCACCACATTGGGGTTGGTCGCTGACGCCACACACCCCAACGCGCGAATCTGACCAACAAACAGTCCGTCACAACAGGCAGCCAATTTCTCTGTGTGTCCTCTGTGTGTGTGTTGACGAGCACAGGCACCTTCATGACGTCGTATGGCTGTTTGAGCACGGTGCCGTAGAAGGACGGCAGAATGCCGTGCGGCTCCTCGCGAATGAGCAGCTCCAGGCTGTGCAGGATGGCCTCGTGGGTGTCGCTGGCGCTCGCCACGTCGTAGACAGGCGGGGAGAAGAGCTGATCCATCAGCCATGGCAACACCTGCCCACCACACACACACACACACACACAAACACGTGAAGACGAGCGTCCTTTCCTTGGTCAGCCAGGCACTGACCTGCTCGAGGACGAGTGGCGAGTTCTTCTCGTACAGCTTGGCGGCGCAGTGCGTGGCGGTCTCCCGCACGCGGCCCTCGGTGTCGCAGAGGACCTTCCTGACGGTGGGCAGGAGCACCTGGCTGTACTCGGCCAGGAGTGCCTTGGGGGCCGCCTCGATCACCTCACCCAGCCCGATACACACGCCGCGACGCGTGTGCCACTCGCTGCTCTCGAGCGTCTGGGGCCATCGGAGAAGGAAGCACACACACACACACACAGAGGGAGGGAGGGAGGGAGTGGTTTGTGGTGGAGAGGTTGATTCTCGTCCGTCTGAGACTGACTTGTGCGAAGATTGGCATGAGGTCCGGCAGGACGCGGTCGCCGAGCTTCTGCACCAGGTCACCCACACACCGGCCCGCCACACTACGCACACACACAGAAACACAAAGAGAGAGAGATGGGAGGAGGGTGTCTGTGGTTTGGTGTGAGTGCGTACGTCTGTTTCTCGCGTGACTCTGATCCCAGGTTTTGGATGAGTCTCTTCATGAGGATGGGCAGCAGCTCCTTGAGCGTCTTGGGCGTGTTGCTCACCACACTCTTCCACACCTGCACACCGCACACAACACAACACACACAACACAATATAACATGGGCGTCCACGCACAGCCATCCATCCAGCCATCCATGTGTGTGAGAGTGCTCACACTGCCGGCAGTGCTGCGGACGACCAGGTTGTCATCAGACCTGCACACACATACACACAGATGGACCAACCATCCCTCATGTGTGTGTGTGTGTTTCTGGCCGCACGGCGTACCTGACGATGTAGAGCGATGAGAGGAGGAAGGCCCGCCTCTCGCGGCTGAGCACCTCCGACGCCATGAGGTCCTGCGTCGGCTGCAGCGCACCATCGGCAGACGGGGGCGCGTCCATCGGCCGAAGAATGCGCGTGATCAACGTACCCAACAGCGACACTGACAGATGACCCACCGACAGACCGACCAATACACCAGACACACACACACACACAGAGAGAGAGAGAGAGGGAGGGAGAGGGAGGGAGAGAGATGAGAGCTTGGCGCCTTTCGCCTTTGTTTTCCCTGACCTGATGCTTGTCGTATTCTCCAGTCAGGGCTGAAGATGCCCTCCTCGAGAGGCGGCAGCAGCAGGGCCGTGTGTGTGGCGCCGTACTGACCCACCAGCACCTCAGCCGCGCGGAACGACACGTCCCTCACGGGCTCAGACTCATCCGCCAGGCCGCGAAGCAGCGCGGGCAGCACCTGTGGGACGTACATCTGCACACGCAAAGAGGACGAGGGCAACACAGCCATTTCCCTCTCTCTCTCTCTCTCTGTGTGTGTGCGTGTGTGTGGTTGCCTGGAAGCTCTCCCCGAAGGCGATGGGGAGGTAGACGAACAGGCCGAGGTAGCCCTCCCGCACTTCGGGCGCCGACTTCTTGTTGGCCGCATTCTCCAAAATCAGCGGCAGAAACTCGTCGAGCTTCTCGGCCCCCAAAGCCACGAGCACCTCCGACAGCCCGTTGGCGGCCCCGCTGCGCTCGACTGACGAGGAGGACGACTTGAGAGTGGTGAAGAGCCACGGCAGCACGTCGTCGAGGTGCTCCTCCCCCAGTGCGCCTGCGATGCGGCCGAATGCCTTGGCGGCCACCTGACGGACATCGGGAATGGGGTCGACGAGAGTGCCCTTGAGGTGGGGGATGATGGCGGGGTAGTAGGGGAGGAAGTCCTTCGGCTCGCGCATGAGCTCCACCATGGAGGCCACGATCTGTGCCGCCTTCTTCTTGGTCTCCGAACCGCGCTCGCGCAACGCACGGGTCAGCATGGGACACACCTGCACACACACACACACATGGATGGATGGATGGATGGATGTGTGGTGGGAGAGGGCCGCCCACCATTGCGAGTGAGGGCGCGTCGACGGCGTGGACGAAAGAGGTCTCGAGGAGCGCCTGTAGAGCGGTCTTGGTGGCCTTGTCGCTGGGGTTGACCAGCGACTCGATCAACACACCCTGCAGACTCTTGATCTCAGGAGTCGTTATCACACTCGCTGCAGCCATGACAGAACAAACACCACAACCAACACACTTACTGGCTGCTTCCCGTGTGTGTGTATCCCTTGGTAGTGCAGTTCTAACCAATGGTCTTGAGCGCCTTGTCGGCCGAGTCCCTGACTTTGGGGTGGCTGTCCGACACGACGTCAGCCAGCGCCGGGACGACCTGCGGGAGGCTGACGGCCAGCTGCTTTGGGGCGCAGTTGACCATAGAGGCCAGGAGCTCGATGGACCCCAGCTTGGTGCGCCACTGCTTCTCCGTCACCTTGGACAGCAAGGTCGGCAGCACCATCTTGACACCGTGGCCGCTGCACCACCCACACACACACATATGCAGCCGTCATTGTGTGTGGGTGTGGGTGTGGGTGTGGTGGGTCAGACCCACCTGAGCCCAGCCATGAGGGACTTGGCGGCTTTCTGTGCGGCGTTGCGAACGTGGATCGACGTGTCGGAGAAGGCATTCTGATGGATGGAAACGACGAGACCTGTGTTCTGTGGTCTCTCGCGTGTGTCTATGGACTCTCTCTAACTCACGAGCAGAGTGGGAAGGGTGTGGATGACGAAGGGCTCGAAGAGGCGGCCGAGTGCCTCTGAGAGGGCCTCGAAACACATCAGCGCACCCTGCCGACGCAGCGGCTCCTTCGGATGCTCAGCACTGATTGGCCAGACAGACGGAGGAGAAGCATGGGGCACGTGCCACCTGTGTGTGTGCGTGTGGCACCGACGCTTCCTGGAGCCGTTTGATGAGGTCGAATTGCTTGAGAGCCGAGATGCCCAGGCCCTTGACGATCGCACCCACACCCATCGCAGCACCTGAAGGATGAGACATGGAGAAATACACGGCAAGCATTGCACCGCTGCCGCGGCGTGGTGAGGTGGGCAATCAAGCATACCATTTCTAATGGTGGCGTTGTCATTGGTGAAGGCCTCCTCCAGGAACTTCTCGAGCGTCATCTGGCTACTGAAGGCCTCTGCAGCACAGCCACCACAACAAGCGATCATCCCTCTGAATGTCTAGTCCATGTGGTGTGTTTCCCCTCTCTGCCCCACCAGTTTTGGCCTGGTTGCAGGCCTTGACAAGTGGCGCCACCACGTCGGCCACGGCCTTCTGCACCGAAGGGGATGGCGCCTTGGGGTCGAGGAGGAGGTCGAGCAGCCGGTCCAGCACGGCCACCACCTTGGCGTCACTGGGGTCAATGTACTTGGTCACCGCACCCAAGTACACCGCAGACGCCATCGCTGCCGCCTCGTTCCTGCACACACCCATGTGTGCCCCACTTTGGTGCGGCGGGGGCGGGGGCGGGGGAGCCTACCTCGATTTGCTGCGGGTTTGTATTTCGATTTGTCTTTCGATGATCTCGAGCATGTGTCTGTAGAAGTCCTTGCCGCAGTCCTCGATGAGCGCATGGCCCACCGACAAGACGCACTTGCGCAGAGGGCTGTCGGGGTCTTCTCGCACGTCGGGCTGCTCCATCCCACACCTGCACACACACCACACACACACACCATAGACAGACAGATGGTGAGCCGCTCACAGATGTGTGTTGTGCGTGTGTGGCTGCTGGGTACTCGAATATGAGTTTGAACATCTCTGCGATCTGTTCCTCGGTGGTGATGAGGCCCTTCTTGGTCAGCGCCACCAGGGCATAACACACACCCTCGCGCACACGACCTGCACAGACGCAAATCAAAGCGGTCCACACGCGCCGCCATTGACAAAAGTTTGGTTGGGCGTGTTCTTTCGCCGACCTCCTTTCTGAACGAAAAGGCGTGCGAGGGCGGTGAGTGTCTGGTTGACGTGGGCCTCTGCCGCCGACTCCTCTTCATCCTCCTCCTCCTCTCCATCCTCTTCACCTTCTCCTTCACGCTCTTCCTTCTCGTCGGCTGGGAGCCGGTCCTTCAGCAGGTGTGACAACGCATCGGCAGTCTGCACACACACAGAGAGAGAGAGAGAGGGACGGGGGTGTGGCTCTCGTCTGTGTGCTGGGAGGGGCTGGGGAGAAGAGGCATACCATTTTCTGGAAGACGGTGGACTGTGCGCTCAGGAAGTCGTAGAAGGACGCCTCGCTGCCGATGTCGGGCTCGATGTCCCACTTCTCCAGCAGATCGCCGGCCGCCTTAGCCGTCGCCTGCAGGGGCAAAACAAGAAGACATCACACAACGCACAAAGACACACCTGCTGGCTGTGTATGTGTGTGTAGTACCAACCTGGCTCGGGTCGTGTTTGAATACGTAGAGGTAGGTGGCGATGGGCAGCAGCGACAGCGGGGCCAGGTCCATCGCACGCACCACCGCATTCCGGATGTCGGCGTCGTCCGTCACGCCGATGTCCGCCAGCAGAATCAGCGTCAGAGACGTCTCATCGGTTATGAGGTAGCTGCCAATATGCACAGCCACACGTGTGTGCAGGGGCGCGTGGGTGTGTGTCGGTCATGGCACCTGCACGCTTCGGCAAGGATGTCCCTGCACACGCGCACGAGAGCGGGGAAGCACTTGAGCGCCCCCCCGACGCACTGCAGCACCTCCTCGCCCTCCATCTGGGCCCTCAGCTTGAGCTGCAGCGCCAGCAGCTGCAGCGACTGCATGCATGCCTTGTCGCCCGCACGCTCTGGGTCGCTCAGGATGGCTGACACCACCGGCAGTATCAGGGCCGTGGCTGACGTCGGCAGTGGGGTGCGATCGGACACCTGCAGCACACAGAGTGTTGCGCCAGTGTGATGTCGTGTGGTGTGGTGTGTCTGTGCGCTTGCTGACTCACCGTTGCGAGTAGCTGGATGGTGTGGTCGTCAACGGGCTTCTGCAGCGCCACGCGCACAAGCGCATCAGGCAAGTACGACCTATGCGGCACAGCAGCAGCAGGCAGCAGCACGTCGGCCATGACCCGCAGCGCCTTGAGGGTCGCCATGACGGTCAGGGGGCTGCCCAGCAGCCGCTGCAGCTGAGGCACTATCAATCCAGCCTGGCGACCGAAGGCCTCCGGGTGGGCGCGGCACAGCCTTGCGAGGCCGTCGATGGCGTAGGTGGAGTGGTCGAGAGTGCGCTGAATGCGTCTGCGTATCTCCGTCTGCTCGTTGAGCTGGTGCTCCTCGATCTCCTTCTTGGTGAGGGGGCGGTGGGGGGCACCGGCAGCTGAGGGTTTCTTGCCGCCACCGGCACCGCCCTTTGCTGACGGCTTGGGAGCGGCAGATGGCTTCGACTGCGTGAAGGCGAGCAGAAGCACACACAGACAGAGAGGCACCATTGTCGCATTGTCTCGTGCCTCTGTGCTGTGCTGTGCTGTGCTGACGGGTATTTGTGAAGGGTCGTAGTCTTCGCCATAGAGAGCGGTAAGGTGTTTGTTTCGCTTGACGTTCTTCTGCTCCACCGCCTGTGCGATGTACACGCCCTCCTCGACGTAGAGGATGCCCTCGGGGGCGAAGTAGATGGGCAGGTGCTCCGGGTCCTCGCCGCAGATGTCATCCACGTAAAGCTGCGAAGTCAGGTCGCCACACAGACCCTCAGCCGCCTCCAGACACGAGCTCGCCTGCACAACAGACACCGAATTGTGGATTCCCTGTCTGTCTCTTTCTCTTTTTCTCTGTGTTGCCCCTTACCGTTGCCATGGATTCGGCCTTGAGCAGCCGGAAGGTCTCGATGACGGCCAGACAAGCGTCCCTGTACCCCGTGACGTCCTTGCCCTCGATGCTGCCGCCTTTGGCCACCGCCCGCCTCACCGCCCCCCAATGGGGAAAGTCCCCCCACTCACGCACCATCATCTTGACGTACTGCATGCGGGACACATCGCACGACCCCGTCAGAGGGTGGCACATGCACAGCAGCGCAACCGCCGTCAAGTCCGGGCCGATGACGTGTGGAAGGGAGGCGCCCAGCGGCTCCATTCCGGGAGGCGGGGGCGGGGCGGTCGGGTCGCTGTCGGGAGCTCTCCGGCCGCAGATGCGCAGGATGGCTGTGAGGCAGTACCTGAGCGAGCCGGGGTGAGGGGTGTCGATGTGGTGCTTGTGGCCGTTCTCTTGTTGTGGCGGCAGCGGCTGGCCCCATGGCGGGGGGGCCTCCTTGTTGATGTGGGCAAGGAGGTTGTAGAAGGCGAGCAGCAGGAGGGTGCCGAGGGCGGGGAAGTCGCTGAGCGAGGCGAGCTCGGCGTGCAGCCGGAAGGGACGCTGCTTGTCACGGGAGTCACTGATGGCCTGAAAGCCAACAACACACCAACAACACACCAACAATCCGTCCAGCAACCGACGCCCGTCTCTTTGTCCTGTGACCGACCCCTTTCTGCACGAGCTCCACGATGACGTTGACGAAGGCCCAATGCAGGCCTGTCCACCCCGCGGCCTTGCCGTTGGACTCATGGACGGATGGCGGGAGGCGGAATGCATCGGAGGCTATGTCTGTGTTGGCTGGGGCTGGGCAGAGGTCGACGCCGCCGAAGACGGGCGGCCGCCTGTTGAGCAGCTGCACCAGGAACCGAAGCTGCGATTGAAGCTCCCTGGCTGACGCCTGCAGAGAGAGAGAGAGAGAGAGAGAGAGGTCAGTGGGTGGACGGGACAGTGGTGGAAGTGTTTGGCGGCTGACTTTGTGTATGAGCAGTCTTGTGTTGAGGTATGAGCCCTTGTCTGTGAGGATGGTCATGGCCTTGGCGTCGATCCTATTGGCCACGCCGTCCAGCTGCACGTCGTCCATGTTGAGCAGCACACGCCACACATCCACACACAAACCCCTACACAGCCACGGCACAACACGCCCTACAAATGCGTCAGACTGATGGGTGACCTTTCCGCACCTTTTTGTGTGTTTGGCTGTGGCTTGGGGCAGGATGGCCACGAGCGGATCGATGAGCTCCTGCAGGGCCGAGAGATCGTACGAGAACCGCTCCTTGGCGCACATCATGGACACCAACGCCTAGGCAAAGCAAAGGAGCCGAGTGAGTGAAAGCTCCACCCGTTGGTGTGTCGTCGGGTCGCCTACCTCTACGGTGGCTTCCTTGAGGCGGTCGCTGGCCTTCTTGTCGGCGAGGATGCCTCCCAGCACCTTGGCGTACTCGTGACAGGCATCCTTGGTCACGCCCTCAAGTCGCATCAACACGCCTACACACACACATACACTCACGGGTCGGTCTGTGTCAGTGTGGTCTTTCCCCCCTCTCACCTGTGAGTTTGATCCCCGCGGCCCTCGCGTCTTCGCTGCTCTCTGACTTGCAGCACTTGAGCAAATAGGCCCCCCCACTGCCACTCAGCAGTGTGCGAGCGTACTTCTGCCGCTCGGATCTAGTGCATGGGGCAACGGTCAGGGCCAGCATGGCCTGCACACGCACAGAGAGAGAAGGTGGGTGGATGGGCAGGAGTGGTTTCGGAGGTCTGCCGACCTCTAGGTAAGCGAGTCTGTGTGGCGCTTGTGAGAGTGAGCCGCCCTCGAGGGTCGACATCAGCTCACACAACAGACCCTCAATCGCTGAACCGTCGCTGCACTGCACTCAGAAACAGAAGGTGAAACAAACAGAAGACGCATCAGAAGACGCATCAGCAGACTGACTTGGTGTGTATTGACCCACCCTTTCAGTCTGCCTGCCTCGCTCACCTGTGAAGCGACGCTGCAGCAGAGCTGCATCGCATGTTCCCGGGTCTCTGCGCTGCTGGCCTTGAGCAGCTCAAACACAGCACCGCCCAACAGGGGACGGGCATACCTGCACCACAACCACAACCACAACCACAACCACACACACAGATGCACACGTGCCGGTGTCGCACCATCCTCAGGCCTCACGTGGAGATGTCGATCTGCAGGAGGTTGGTGAGCTCGATGACGTAGGTCAGCAGGTTGTCGGGGTTGCGCTTCAGGTACTTGACAATCACCGGCACCATCACCTCACCGAAATCCTGACAGACAGACAGACAGACACACGTCTGGTCAACACGGCCGCCCGTCGACTTCTGCTGCCTCTTCGCCCCAGACCTGCTCTGTCAGGACGTTGAAGATCGGCCTGAATGCCGCCTGGGTCTCAGGCGGCGCCCTCTTCTTGGCCTCCAGCACACACGCACAGTACCTCTTGGCGACCGCCGCCCGCACCTCACCCGCCCTCTCCCTCTCAGCCTCGCCATCAGCACCACCCAAACGCCGCTTGGCTGCATGCGATATTCGTCGCGCCAGGGCCGTCACCAGCAGCACTGGGGGCGGGTCCTTGCTGTCCACTATCTTGGTCATGATGGCCACTGCCTTGTCGCTGCGAGCCATCAGGTGCAGCAAAGGGGTCAGCACTGACGGCTGCAGGCTGGTGGGGAGGTCGATGTTGGTCAGGGACGCTTGCAGGGCGGCCGCGACGAAGGTGTCGGCGAGGAATGCGTCAGGGTCGCCCTCGAGAAGGAACAGCAGGAAGAGCCGCACGGCCACCGCAAATGCCCGGGGGTCCCCCGTGGTGAGCTTCTTGACGGCCTTGGTGTGCAGCTTGGCCAGGAAAGGAGCGAACTCCCCCTCCTCCTTCGCAGCCCTCCCCAGCGGCGAAACGAGCTGTCTTGCCAATCCATCCAGCGGCCGGCGGGACGACACACGGGGCGGCAGGGCGACGACAGCCACATAGGCAGCTCCCTTGAACAGGTCTGGCGTGACAGGCCCCTCCGACAGCACTTCTGTGAGTCGCGTGAGCGCCGCACGACGCTCCTTAAGGGAACCCGTGTTGAGCTTTTCAGCCGTTTCCTTGAGAAGCGCCTCGTGGTCGGGTGCGTGGCCGTTGGCCGTGTGTTCTTGTGCGTTGCCGCTGGCCTGCTCCATCCCGATCTGCAAGCAGCTTCTTCTTCGCAGATGACAAGAGAGATCACCGAATTAAAGACGTGCTGAAATCGATGACCAGCCGCTATCGGGCTTCCTGCATCACCATCTTGAATGCATGGAAGCCAGAGATCTGCACTTCTGCTGCAAGCTTAGCTCGCAGGAGGGTGGCAGGAGGGAAAGGAGTCGCCGTCCCAGTATACCGTCGGCGTAGGCATCTCAGCGCCTAAGCAGCTCGAATCGCCACAGATCTCGGTTCATCTGCCATGCCGGAGTGTCCCCGCTTCAAGCTCTATCCCGCCTCATCCCGTGACTCACTCGTCTACGGCACCGAGCGGCCAGGGTATAGCCCAGACAACGAGAAGCCCGGCGCCGTCGCAACGGAGCTCGTGGATGAGTGGGCCGCGCACATGAAGGAGCATGGCGTGAAGCGCATTCTCTCGCTGCTCGGCGACGATGAAGGTATGCACACACACACACACACACACACACACAGAGGCGCTCACAGGGATCTGAGGCAGAGAGTCCCACCCTCCCTGTTATGTGGCCCATGTGTGCAGTCGAGTGGTACGCCGAGCCCATCGAGACCACGCTGGCCAAGCACGGCTTCGACAGCACCCACTACTCCCGCACATCGGTGTTCAAGCCTGGTGCCATGGACGTCATGCTGGCGGCCTTCCAGGCAGCTGAGGCGGCCAACGAGCGCATCGTGGTGCACTGCTCAGGCGGCACCGGCAGGGCCACTCTCGGCCTGGCCACCTGGGTGGCGACCAAGTATGGCCTCAGTGCCGAGGAGGCGGTCAATGAGGTGGTGGAGTTCGGCAATGCGACAGGTGTGCCGAGGAAGCTGAGCCCGGTGAAGCTGGAGACGCTGCTCAAGGACAAATGCCTGCAGGGGAAACACTGACTGATGGCGGGGGCGAGGGGCTGGCTGGCTGGCTGTCGTGGGTTGGCCGTTTTGTAGTTGGTGGTGGTTGTGCCTTCCTGGTGTTGCTGCTGGTGCTTATTTATCTTGTGGATGGATGGTTGGTTCTCACGTCTTTTTCGATGAGGCTGACGGGGACGAATGAATGGACATACATTCATCTGGCTGTCTGTCTGCCTGATGACTGCATTGAATCAAGTTGCAAATCAGCCAGGGTGGTTTGCCGTGTCTATGTGTGTCTCTGAGTGATCGGGAGACTATCATGGGTGGCCTGATCAAGTCATGGACGGCTGCAGCCAACCAAACGAACAACTAGTCCGCCAAGAACAAATTCTCTCCTCCCGCCACACACGTGTTGCTTTGTCTTTGCCTCTCCCCTTTTGTGTTTCCTTGCCTTTGTGGTGTTTGTGTACTAGGGTGTCTCTCTCTCTCGTGTGTGGTTGGGTATCTGGCTCTCTCACTGACGGGTGCGTGTGTATTGGTCGCTTTGTCTGTCTGTGGTGATGTTGTCTGCCCGATTTGGTGTGTGAGAGAGCCGCCAAATGCACACACAGAATCCATCCACGAGCCGATGGTGCTGGTGGAGACGGCGAGAGTGACGAAGGCGGCATCTGCTGGCTGCGAGACGTCAAGCACGCCTCAATCAATCGCATGTGGCTGGACGCCTCAGGGCATCGGACCTTGACAGTGCTGCCCTGCTGGTGCTGCTGCTGATAATGCTGAGGGGCTGGCCGTGGTGGCTGGGTCGGGGCGGCACATGAGGGCGGGCGAGACGACGACAGAGAGGGCCATAGTGATTGACTGCTGGGTCAGAGTCGGTACGAGTACCGGTTTGCTGGACGAGTGGTGTTTCGGTCAGCGGCTGCTCATTCGCTGGGGCCGGCTGCTCCTGTCTGTTGCTGAGGGGAAGAGGATGGCCTCCTTGCAGAGAACACACAGCAACGGTCAAGGGACACACACAGCTGTGTCATCGATGTGAGTGGCCCTTATCGGCCAGACGTGTGTGAGACTCACCGGTCCGGTGTGATGACGAGCAGCAGGGCCGCGACGGCGGGAGCCAACAGAGACAAACGCACCGTGAGCTGCTGGGAGTCTGCTGGGGGCTTCAAAGGACAGCAGGGGGAGGGGCAGGGGACTCAAAGGAGGTGAGCACTTTGTCGACAGACAAAAGGAAAAGAAACCCCGATCCTGCAGGAGGCCAGAAACTCCGTCAACCTGGCAGCGCCGAAACAATGTGCCATCAACGGCCACTGGCAAGCCCGGTTTTGGGTTTTCGCTCGTTTTGCGCCTGTGTGTGGCCGTCGGCGAAGCGGTCCTTGTTGTGTTCTCTCTTGTCGGCTTCAGTCGCCCTCCCCGCTCCCACTCACTGACCAAGGAGGCCTCAGTGATACGGTTGTCTGTGCTGTCCGGATCCCCTGCCGTCCTGTGGCTCGTGGTCTTACTGGCAGGTGGGCACCGCCCTCACACACCACGCCACTCTGACACCTCTCTGTCTGTCTGTCTCTCTGCTCTGCTGGCCGTCTGTGTGTGTGTGTGGTGTGTGTTGTCAGCCTTTCCCTCGTGGCTGGTGCAGCTGTGTGCCGCGAGCGGTGCCGGCCTCCTCCGCCCCAACACAGCGCCCACCTTGACCAGCGGCAATGACACCGCGGCCGGGGCCGAGAAGAGGCGATTGCACCCGCCAGGCGCCGAGTACGCTCACACACACGGCCGGCCAGCCGTGGTCTCTTGACACACGTGGCCGCCTGACATTGTCCTGTTTGTTTGTCTGCAGGTGTGTGTGTTCTGCGGAACAGTTTAACCAGGGCCAATGTGACCCCAACACCATACCGATCATCGTCACCGGCCGCGGCGAGGTGCGCACCCAACGACACTGAGCCCATCGAGGCGATGCATCATTGGACACACACGGGAGGGCCTGTAGTGTGCACTCGTGTGTCGTGTCAGTTTCGAATCGGGGCCATTTCTATTCAACCCACGAGTCCTGGCCTTGCTTTCGGTGTAGTCGCAGTGGCCTCCATCGGCGGTGACCCCGTGGAGGAGATGGATGACAGAGTGGATGACGTCGAAGTGGTAAGCAAAGCGCACCTTCTGTGTGTAGGGCCGTGGATGACCCGACTCAATGTAGAAGGAGTTGCCTGACGGAGTATTGGGTCAGGGATCCGTCGGCTACATAACAACTATCGAAGTCCTTGAGTTTGAGGTTGACACGTATTTTGTCGACATCATGGTCACATTCATCGAGGGCGGCACCACGCGAGTCGAAATAGCAGAGGATTGCGCTTTGCGGGTTGTTGAATGCCTGGATGATGGTGACTGCACTGAGGGAAACATAGGTTTGCGGGTATGTGACGACAATAACCTATGTTTCCCTAACCCTGTCCCGCCTTAGACTGTGAGCGTCAGATGAGAGGGACAGGGAGAAATTCATGATGTGTCTGTCGTGTGCCTACTAATTTACTTACACACCACCCACACCCACAGAGTGAGATGGACGCTGCTTTTTTTATATGCAGGGACGACGTTGTGTTTCGTGTCGTCTCGCTGTCTGTCGGTGTGTGTGCAGACGTGACATACACAGAATGGCCGTGGGCGGGCGGGGCAGTGTGTCTGTGCGTTTCGCTGACAGAGAGAGGGAGGGGGTGCGGTGATGACGACTGTTGAGTCGGCCTGAATGCGACGATGTGTGCCTCTCGGATGTCTCTCTCTCTCCTTTGTGTGTGTGGGTGTTTTGGCCATCTGACTGACTGACTGACTGCTGTGTGGGTGTTGTGTGTCTCTCTGTGCTGCCTCCGTGAATGCTCTGTCTGTGGTGATGTCTGACCGATTGTGTGTGTGAGATCCGCCAAATGCACACACAGACACAGAGGGAGGGGGGCGATATCGGCGTGGCGTGTGCGGTTCAGTGAGGCCATCAAATGAGGGCTGCATGCTGGTGTTTTTCTAATGTGCAGACACACAGGCAGAGAACAAATGTGCCCGACACGCGAGAGGGCTCAGGTGTGTGTGAGGGTGCGGCGGCGGGGTGGGTCAGTGTGTGTGTTTCCACGGAGGACTGACTGACAGAGAGGGGAGGGGGTGTGGTTGATTTCTGTGTGGCTGGCTCGCTCTCCCTCTGTCTCGCAAATGTGCGAGCGGCCCAGGGAGTGTGTGCGATGCCCTCGTGGGGCCGTTGATGCGACCCGCCTGACTGGCCGATTGGTGTGTGTGAGGGGGGGCAAAGGCAGACAGCCGGCCGCCTGTGGGAACGGCTGAGCGGTCGTCATGTCTGTCCGCCTGTCTGTCTGTCCGTCTGTCTGTCGGTCCGTCTGTCTGTCTGTCGCATTGGGTGTGGGGGACACTCGTGAGTGATTGTGGGTGGGTGGTGGGCTGACTGTCTGGGGAGAGGGGAGGATGCAGCCATGTCCGTCTGCAGTGGTCAGACAGGTGTGTTGGGGTCTATTATACCCCCCCCCACACACAGCCAGCCGTGCAATGCACAGACACACACATCTGTACAGTCCATCTGACGAGGAAGGGTGGGAGGGGGGCATTTGGTCAGCGATGGCAGACAGACAGACAGACAGACAGGTAGGCCGTTAGGTCGTGCGGGAGGACAGAAGGCTCACTTAGAGAAATCTATGTCTCGCCTTTTCTGTTTTGGTGGATGCCGTGAGATGCGGCATGGGTGTGTGTCTGTTACCACGGAGGTCTGACTGACAGGGAGGGGAGGGGGTGGGGTCACTGTGTGGGGCTGGCTCTCTCTCTCTCTGTCTCTGCCTTTGTGTGACGGAATCGAATCAAGCCATGGAAATGTCGGAAATATGAAATGTACACAGCCAGCCACCCGAACAACAACCAAACAGCAAGTCATGTGTTGTTGTTTGTCTTCTGCCTGTCGATCAGTTTCCCAGCGACAGACACGACAAAGAGCCAACCAACGTTTTGCGCACACGTCCGTCGTGTCCGGGCCTTGCAGGATATAAAATGTAGGTAGCGATTGAGGGATTCCTCTCCTCCCCTTTCCTCTCTCTCCCTCCTCCGCCACACACGCAGACCACGCATGGCTCAAACCACAGACACGCACCACACGATGGCCGGCATAGCTGTGCATTCAACCGCTGCTCTCCCGTTTTCGTCATTTCTTTTTTGTTTTGTTTTTGGTCTTTCTCCGCGTTCCTGGCTGTCACATCTCAGGCTAAGTCGGCAAAAAACAACAAGGACGGGCCATCTCGCTCGCGCCCCCCCTTCGGCCAGACAGCTTCCATGCACAGGGTCAGCCAGGCAAAAAGAGGGCAGGCAGTTGAAAGGAAAAGCAGCCAGTCCATCTATCCAGTCAGTACTTCAATCAGGCGGCTAATGGTGGCGGCCCTCCCGGCCCCTCCGCCGGAAGGCATATGGGGCGCCTTCCTTCCACAGGTTGAGCTGCTGCTGCTGCTGCTGGGCGGCTCCCTTGTACGCCGGCATGTCCTCGATCTCGCGCTCCAGGCGGGACTTCTTGGCGGTGCCGTGGCTGGCCTGCTGTCCGTCGCCATCATTCCTCTTGCGCTTGTCCCTCCCGCCGCCCGCACCCTTGCCCGCCATGCCGCCCGCTGCCGCCTTGAGGCACATGTACTTCTTCCTTGCGCGTCTGTCGCGCCGCTTCTCGCGCGCACACCTCCTGATTGATGGGTCGATGCACACATAGATGTGTCGATCTCTCTCTCTCTCCACATGGATGAGTGTGTGCGCGTATCAATGAATTGTGTACTTCCCTGTGCCCGCTCTAGGCCTTCCAGCTTGGCCAACTCATACTGGTGCCGTGCAGAGAAGAGGTCGCGGCTTGCCAGCGCCACCGTGTCGTGCGCTCCAGCTCCAGCTCTTCGATGCGCTTCGACATCCACTCCAACTCGTCTCCTTACCTGCGTCCATCCATCCATCCATCCATCGATTACATGCATACTCCCTGTCTGTTTGTGTGTGTGTGTGTGTGTGGTGCTTCCCTCTCTCTGTCGCCCTGCTTACACGTCCAGCCTATCCCGCGCCTTGTGCAGTTCAGCGAAGAGTCGATCGTTCTCCTCCCTAACAACCCTGCAGAAGAGCAATGAACCGATGTCAAGTCATTCATAGGCAAACACGTATGTGTGCATGTGGGAGGCCTGTTTGTTTGTGCAGAAGAATCGACTCACCGGGCCACCTCGCTATTGTCTTGAGCTGCTGGCTGCTGAGAGTCGAGCGGACGGCCACAGAGGTCTAGACCAACCTGACATGGCCATTAAAGAGCGGATACCAATCACAGCCAACCCGCCATCGGTTGAGATGCATATGGACGGATTTCTCTGTCATCTTTGTGCATTTGTGTGTGTGTGCGGGTGGGTGAGCTGAGGGCGTTTCGTTCGATGCTTGCTCCCCGTTCCGCGTTGACAGCCAATGACGAGACACCAACTACAGAGAGACAGAGAGAGACACGACTGTCATCGACACACCCACATGCACACAGACAGATTCCTTGCATGCCCGTCTGTCTGTCGTAGTGCTCTGTATGTATGCTGTGTGCTCACATACATGGCCTTCTGCCTGCCGATTCCCGTGTTGACGCTGACACGACCTTGGACACAGCATCGGGCACCACGGCTGGAACAGTGCACACACACCTGTAAGGCCATGGACTCTCTCTGTGTGTGTGTCCCTCTGTCGGTGGACGTGTAGATCTTCTGAGGGTCGGAGGGCAGCTCGCACAGGCGCTGTATGGTGAACGGAGGCCTGCTCACACCAAAACAGACAGAGACAAATCAAAATGTAGGGCGTACCCCTTGAGGTTCATGACTGAGCGTGCGACGACATCCACATGACTCTGACGCTCGCGGCTCCTCATCGTGAGCATAATCCTCCAGCACCACCTGCATGCATTGACGTGTGCAACCAAGCGAGCGACCAGCCAATAAATCAACCAATGAACCACACGTACACCCAAACAGCGACACACACGCCTTAAGTGTCTCTCTCTGGGTATCGTATCTTTTGTAAGTGAGTTCCTGACCCACCTAACGCAGCTTAGCGGCGATCCCGCGCTTCAACAGATTCCACGGATACCTGAAAATGCACACATACACAGCAAGACGCGGCGATGCACGTATGTATGTATGTATGTATGTAGCTACGTGACGTCGCCCGTGGTGGCGACCTCCCTGATGACCGCCCGCCTCCAGGTCCTCAGGAAGCCTCGCATGGTCACCAAACGCAGACCTCAGACACCATCCTGCAAATGAAACACACACCGCAACAAACCACCGACACACAACCACAGGCAGACCGACACATGAGTGAGCCAGCCACCAAGCCACCAATGTGTGTGTGTGGATGTGCCCTCCCTCCCTCACTTTCGATTCGTCGGACCATCTTCCCGGCCCTGAGACGCAACCGAGACACACGGCGTCTCGCCATGACACAGAGAGCGAAAGCCGCAAACCCCAGCTGCCTGCATCAACATATGCGCAACGTTTGTATAGACGTCCGGGCCCGGCCTTGCAGCATATAAAATGTAAGCAGCGATGCAGCTGTCCAGCCACTCGCTGCTCTCCCATTTTTTCTGAGCTGCTGCTGCTGCTGCGGGGCTCCCTTGTACGCCGGCGTGTCCTCGATCTCGCGCTCCAGGCGGGACTTCTTCGTCGTCGATGACCATGGGGTCGTCTGGCTGGTTGACGCGCTCAACTTCCCGCCTGGCGGCCTTCTCGGCCTGCTCGTCCTCGAACACAACTATCAAACCCTACATTCAATACAAGGAATGCACAGAGATGCACTTGACGGATGCACGTGTAGGTCTATGTGTGGGTGTTCGTGTAGGCGCAGGTGTGCGTGTGCCCTCTATCTGTCTTGCCCTTGGCGGCTTACCCCGATGAAGTTTCGCAGTCCACCCGGTGACGGCTCGCCGGCAGCGGTGATGCGGGCGGCGATTTCGGCTGTCGTGGTGAGGCGGTGGTCGTTCTGCACGCGGGCGGCGATGGGGTCCATGTCTGCCCAGTGGTCGCCCTCCAGCGGCACAAAGGGAATGAAGTGTCGGAACGCATGACCGTCCCTCCTCCTTGTGCTGATGCTCCAGCTCGTCGGGCTCTGAGTCAACAGCGAAACGAGCACTCCAGTGTGCTGACACATCAACACACACAGACACACACACACACACATACACACACATGTCAAGAAATTCCTCCTTGGCTATCTCTCACAGATCACTGCTTATCTCGCCTGGCAATCCATTGACTCACCGTGGCGTGCCGTATCGTCCGGCCTCTCCCTCCGTCCGTAGTAGAACATGAAGCGGGTGTGGTTGTGCTGCTGGGGGAGATCCCCCAGCAGGTTGGCCGTCTCCTGCACTACGATGCCCCGCACACCGCCACCGCCCATGCCGCTCAGCGTCTCCAGCCTGCCCAACATCTCGTCACCCCTCACCTGCAGGTGTGTGGGACAGACAGACAGACAGACAGATACCTCAGGAACAAAGTGTCTCCTTTGTCCCATTCCCGACGTGATGTGTGGTGTTGGTTCGGGTCACCCACGTACCTGCCCGAGATACATGGCCCTGCGATGAGTGTGGGTGTTGACCCATCGGTGGATGTCCATGTTGTTCAGCGACTCGTAGTGCCTCTCGTCCGTGGGCGGATAACTGCTGGGGGGGCCCGTGTGGCGGTAGCCGTGGTGTGGCAGCGCCGGCTGTCCCTCCCCCCTCTCGGGCTCGCCCTCGACCACCTTGACGTCGTCCTTGTGCGGCAGCAGTGTGTTGAGGGCGCGCAGTAGCGATGTCCTCGTCGGAGACCTCGTCGCGAGAGAGCCGCTGGCCGCCCGCCGCCTCCTCGTTGTACTTTTCTCTTTCTGGTAACGAAGCTGCTTCTCCAAGTCGGGCAGCGTCTTCAACCGAAGCTCAGCTGCACGCTTAACGCTGAAGTCACGCTCAGCTGCAGGCAGGCGCATGCCGCACCTCGTGTCGTAATACGGCAGCCCGCCCGCCACGTAGCCCCTGATGGGCTGCTCGAAGAAGCGGAGCTGGCGGAGCTGTGCCTCATTGCTGCCGATGACCACGTGGCGCACGAGGTAGTCGCCCTGTACTTCCTCCAGCATGAAGTGGTCTGGGCGGCGTGGGTCGGCTCGATATGCCTGGTGCAAACCTTCAAAGGTGTACACTGCAGGAGCAAATGGGACACACAGCACACCGAGAGAGAAACCATCATTAGGTACTGTGCCGTCGTCTTATTGAATTGGATGGCATGTGTTGTGTATAGCTTGCTCACCGTTCTGTGGCACCCTTGCCGCCGCCGCTGCGGCAGCCTCAGCAGCGGCTTGGTCGGCAGCACGTTGGGCAGCCTCCACAGCTGCGATGGCTGCGGCCGCACCTGGCGATAGCGGCGGGTACAGGCCGTAGTGCTGCTGCATAGGGCCACGAGGCGTGGCCGGGGCCCCCATATCATCCCCGTTCCCCTCAACAGCGGCTAGTGTAGCCAGAGTGCCTGGCGACAGCGGTTGGAGTTTCCATGACTGAAACGACCTGCTCTCGCGTCCTCTCGACCTGCCTCGGTTCGGCCATTTTGGGCGGATCTCACCGCCCTGAGGGATGCACCAAATGATCAGAAATGGCGTCTTGCTGTTCTTCATCGCCTTGCCGCATCTCAGTCTGCGAATCAAGTCCTCGTTGAATCCACCGGCCTTGTGGTTGGCGTCGGTGTACACTGCAGGAGCAAATGGGACACAGAGCACACCGAGAAACCATCATTACCGTCGTCTTATTGGATGGCATGTGTGTGGCTTGCTCACCGTCAGGTGGGACCCTTGCCGCCGCCGCTGCAGCAGCCTCAGCGGAGGCAGGCTTCTTGGTCGGCAGCACGTTGGGCAGCCTCCACCGGGGCTGCGAGGGCTTCGGATGACGAATTTGTCCTGCATGACAAAAACACAGACGACGGAAGTATGTCAGACGGATTTCATACGGCTCTGATGGCCCTTCCCTGTCGTGCTGCGTCCCCGACCCCACGCACCCACCCAGCTCACCTCCGCGCCGTACAGCCGAAAAGATACCACCATCAGTCGCTCACAGCTCTTGCGCCGGCCAGCGCCGCGTAAGATCAGTAGCTGGCTGAGGAAAGATAGAAAGAAAAAGCGCAAAAACAAGGGAGAGACGAAATGAGACCGTCTCGTCGAGAAACTGCCGCAAACAACGAAAATTTGTCTTGTTGCTAGTTTGTGACGCCATGCTACACATGGCGGGAAATGGGAAGTGGTCAAAAAATGAGTTCAAAACATGAATTCCATCGCCCCATTTTCTTTGCGAGCTCAAAGCTCGCAGATCTTCAGGATCGTTCATCCCTTCCCCCCGCGGAACCGGCCGCCTGCACCTGCCTTAGAACGCCCCTAGAACGCTGCCTAGAACGCCCCTAGGACGGCGGCCCACAAATTGCCTGGAGTTGTACGGCATCGGCCTCGCGCGCGTCTCTCCCCAAGGCCTCTCTTCCTCCCCGTGCTTTGTGAGCCGCATCGTCTCGAGATCTTGGCGCCCATGGGTTGGTGCGGCTCATTTTGTGGTGCTGCCAGCTTTCTGGTTTGCGTCCTGGTCGGCCTTGGCGTCGTCAGCGGCCAGTCAGGCGGCAAATGTGCCCTGCAGTCGTCCGACAGCCTCGCGTCCCTCGTCCAGAACCAGATCCTTGAAGACAAGGTGCGTGCGAGGGCAATCAAAGACAGCGGGGCTGCATTTGGCTGAGTGGCATGTGTGCACCACTGCAGGTTGACAACTATGCGATTAAGGGCGTTGGGGAGGTGCGGGACGTGAATCTGTCCTCGGTGAGGCTCTTCCCCTTCAACCTGACCAACCCTGCGCCAGGCGTCGTGCAGCTCTTCGCTCCCCAGTTCAGGGTCAGCACGCGCACGCACACACATCACAGACACAGCACAGCGTTGCTTTCTCATCATCATCATCATGGTTGCCGCTGCGTCGCTCTCTTTGTCAGGCGAAGATCAAGTACACATACGAGGTGGATCTGGGCCTCTACACCGACAAGGGCACCGGCAATGCGGTGGCTCGCGGCCCTCTGAATGTGACTTTCCTGGGCACTGACACCGTGACCTGCAACCTGACTCGTGTCAGGATGGACATATCGTCGCCCAAGTCCGAGCAGGGGCTTCTCGGCAGCATCATCACGGGCATCGGCACGGAACTTCTCTTCAAGGTACCAACGCCACCTATCTGCAGAGAGGTCCCTGCCACGCCGCACATAATGGCGCATGAAGCGTGTCTGTCTGTCTGGCCACCATGTGCTCAGGACCGGATCGAGAGTCTCACGCGCGGAGCCATCTGTGCGAGGGTCGAGGACTCAGTCACCGGCAAGGACCTCGAGATCCCTCAGTACGACGCACGAGCGGCCATTCCCGGGGGGCAGTCGGGCTTCCACTGGATCATGCTCGCGCTGGGCCTCGTGGTGGGCATCGCGCTGGGCGTCCTCTCGTGTGCCATCTCACGGTGGGCCAGCTCGCCCGCCAAGAGGAAGCAGCAGGCCACCAAGACCACAGCGGCCGACGGGCAGCCGGCGGAGACCAACGGGGATCACCCATCCCCGCCAGCGGCGGGGAAAGAGGCCACATATGCGTCCCCTGAGCCCGAGGGGGAGATGGAGGCGTCGGCCCCTCCATTAAACAGCAGAGGGGCCCGGGGTGCGGGCAGCAGAGTGTGAGTGAGGCGGCCAATCGTGTGTCGTTTTTCCATGACTCTATCAATGAATTAATGAGAAAGTGAGAGGTGGTGAGCGGGGAGGTCTCCCTTTGCCGGCAGTGGTGTTTAGTAGCGGGGGCTCAGTAGGGCGGGCTCTTTATCACTCTGTCTGTCGCCCTGGTAAGTGGTTAGTGTACAGGCGTACTGTGAGGACGGGTGGGCCCCCCAGACAGACAGACTGATGCATTGGTATTCGTTCTTTGTGAAGGGGAGAGAGGCTGGGGTGAATTTGCGTGTGTCTGTGAGAGGTGAGGTGTGTCCTTCTGTGTCATGATACCCAGCTCGTGGGAGGAGCTGCTGTTTTACAATGAGGCTGGTGGTGCGGCACATGGATGCGTGACGGATCGGTTGCTAATGGGTGCAGCAGCTCGACGGATGCCTGACGAGTGGCAATCAATCGTCGAGCTCCGGCGGCCATCAGCAACAGGTCCATCTCGTTGAGATGGTGACTCCACGGGCCCACGGAGGCAGTGTAGACAGAGATTCTCTGCCTGATTGACTGATTGTCGATTGGTTCAGCTGCGTGTTGTTCCCTCTGACGTCAAGGAACAGCGTGGCCAACGCAATTGATACATGCAGCGTCATGTACCGGCCTTGCCTTGCAAGACGTGTCTGTCTGTCGCATTCAATTCAACACAACACACAAACTGAGTCATTCACTTTTCGCGTATACCAGATGGTCACACCAGACACACAGCTACAGGCATTCGTCAAACAAGTGCATCACCTGCTTGCACCACTCTCAACAAACAAGGAGCTGCCACCGATCTTTCCCTCGCGACACCCGTAGCTATGCGTCTCTCATTTCGACGTCTGCGTCGGTGACCTCGAGTCGTCCCTTGAGCATCTTGACCTCCTCCAGGACGGTTGTGGTGCCGGTGGGGAACATGACGGGCTTGGGGATGCGCGTGCGGGGGTAGGGGGCCATGATGTTGCGGTGCATCGTGTAGGCGTCCTTGGTCACCACACACAGGTCCACCTGGCCGCCAGAACCGAGGTCGTTCGTGATACCTGCATGAACCAGCCAGCAAGGCACACAGATGGGTTGGCGCTCGGTTTTCTGTTTGTCTGCCTGTGTGTGTGTGTGTCCTCAAGGATTGCTGACCAGCGAGGATGGCCTCGCTGACGAGCTTCTTGCCCTCCTCTATCGTCATGTCGTCCTTGTAACCTGTGCACACACACATACGATGATGCATGCCAACGACCGACAGGGGCAATCGATCCCCCGGCTCAGCTCATGCTGCCCCCCCATTGCCCTCATACCCCTCATTCATTACCTGTCTCGAGCATGCTCATGGCGGCGAGGCTGCCGCTGCCCATGCTAGCGAAGGGCAGGCGGTCTGTGGAGCCGTGCGGGTAGATCATGTAGAGCGAAGGCCCCGTCGGGTCCACCCCGCCCATGACCAGCGCACACCCCACGTAGCCCATGTAGCGGAACAAGTGCTGGCTCAGCATCGTCACGGCCGTACCAACACGAGGCGTCCGGTGCAGAGTCAGCCTGCAGGTGGGCAGCCAACGACAGACATGACATGATGAGAGAGAGAGGGTGATATTGACAGACTGTCTCGGTAGTGATGTGGGCGAGGCGGTCACCTCATGAGTTCGAGGTCAGCGGCGAATTTCTTGGTCGTGTGCTCCAGGTCTGCTGCCGTGCCGGCGCCAGCACAGCAGATGTTGTCGGCCATCTTGTGCAGCTTCTCGCAGTTCTTGTCGGCCACTATGTCACCAGCTGCAGGCACACATTGCCACAGACGGCAGGGCATTTTGTCTGCCGCTCCTCTCTGCATGTTTTCGCCACCTGACCGGTGGCGCGTGTGTCTGCGCCCAGTACGACGCCTCCGTCGCACACGACGCCGCAGATGGTGGTGCCTGTCTTCTTGAGGTCGGGCATCTTGAAGGCCTGCGGGTCACTGCTGGCGAGGAACTGGTTGCGCTGGTAGTTGTCGAACACGAAGCCCGCGCCCTTCTGCGCCACCAACGTCTCCACGTAATCCACCGGCATGACTCACTCAAAGCAGATCTCCCTCGGGGTCTCTCTGCACCCAAGATGCGACACCGAATTAGTTGATCTGGCAGCACCGAATTCGCCCTGCCTCTCTGGAGCAGTTTCACGGAAGAAAGAATCGTGCGAGCTGTTTCGTGAACGTCATTTCGTGGAGAGCGAAGATGGAGAAGATGCCGTCGCCCAGCCACATGAACGGCATGAACGGCGTGCCGACGGAAAAGGACAAAGCTGTCAGGCACCACCCCCCCCCGCCAGCCTTCGACCTGCTGCTGGGCGTCCTGTGCGTGGCGGGCATCTACGTGTCATACAGCATCTTCAGCGTCTTCCAGGAGAAGATCTACACCATCAGGGACGCTCACTCGGGACACAAGTTCAAGTACGGCGTCTTCCTCGTCTCCTGCATCGCCTTCTGCGCCTTCATCGTGGGCGCCAGCGGGCTGCTCATCGAGAAGAGGCTCAACTTGGCACAGATCCGGCGCAAGATCAACCAGGAGACCGTCACGAACTTCGCGCTGATCTCGCTGACGTATGTGGGGGCGATGCTGTCGAGCAACTACGCGCTGCAGCATGTCAACTACCCGACTCAGGTGCTGGTCAAGAGTGCCAAGATGGTGCCGGTGGTGGTGGGCGGCTTTCTGCTCTTCCGCAAGACCTACCCTTGGTATGACTACCTCAGCGTCTTCCTCGTGACGACGTCGCTCATCTGCTTCAACCTCTTCAAGGAGGGCGCCAAGAAGCACGCCGTCTCGACCTTCATGGGCGTGGCGCTGTGCTTTGTGTCGCTCCTGTGCGACGGGCTGACGGGGCCGCGGCAAGACCACCTGATGAAGAAGTACCACGTGACGAAGTTCGAGCACATGACCTTCACCAACCTGTTTGCCCTCGTCTGGACGGCCCTCTTCATGTTTGTCCTCGAGGGCGTGGCGCCCGTCACTTTCTGCATCAACAACCCCTCGGCAGTGTGGGCCGTCTTGCTGTGCGCATCCTGCTCTGCGCTCGGGCAGATCTTCATCTTCTTGAGTCTGACGTCCTTCGGGGCTCTCTATCTGTCGCTCATGACGACCACCCGGAAGTTTTTCACCATCCTGCTGTCGGTGGTGCTCTACGGCCACCACCTTAACGCTATCCAGTGGACCAGCGTGTTCGTCATCTTTGCCGGCATATTCCTGCAGACCTACTGCAAGAATGGCGACAATAACAAGCGGACAAAGCAACACGGCAAGGAGGCGGAAATGAGTGGCAAGATCACCGCAGCAGAGGAGAAAGAGGGCAAGAACAGCTAGCCGAATAGAGAGAGAGGTAGCTGACGGACAGTAGAGAGAGATGCGATTGACTGAGTGAACGAGTGCGTCTGCCCGACGGACGAATGGCGCGTAGGGAAGGTTTCGATATGCTTTCCGTTCCCCAGTCTGTGTGAGTGTCTCTCCGTTTATGAGTGGGGGGGATCCTTGTGCGTAGTGAGGTTTTCCATACGTGTGCATCATGAGCCCCAAAGACTCCGAACCGTTTGGGCCCATGAGGATTGATTAATTAATTCATGTGACTACACACCACATCTCTGTCCATCCCGTAGAAAAAATGCCCCCACACATCATGTCATCACCATCCCCCATCCATCCACCACATCAGAGAGTCAGTTGGCGGCTTTCGCCTGTGCAGCCAACTCTAACAGCGACCCACCGCCCGCCCCCGAGGCAGCCCGAATGAGCCGCCCCTCGGGCACGGTGACCGACGGCATGGCGCCGTGGACAATCAGCACCAACAGGGGCGGACGGCTGCCCTTCGCTACACCCTTGCCGCCCTTCTGCACACACACACACACACACACAGATGGTGGGGTGGTTGCTGTCTTTGTGTATCTGACCTTGCCAGTGGGCGGCAGTGGCTGGTTCGGCGAGGGCATCTGCACAAACGACGTCAGGAAGTCCACCATGAGCTTGGGGCCGCCACTGAGGCTCACACCTGCACACAACCACCGCACACACACAAATGGCGCATATCACAGCGGACAAGACGCGAGACGTTAATTCTCTCTTCTTATGCTGACTCGGTGCAGGTGGCTGTGCGACGGGCGCTGCTACGAAGGGCATGGCCGACGGGCCCCCACTGCCGCCCACAGGCTTGCCAAAGCGGCTCAGGAAGTCCACCAAGGCAGCCACTACATCCTGGTGATCACACCCCCCACCAGCATCCCAGCACACCATTGGCGGACATGATGGATGGCCGGGATGTCTCTCTCGTTTACTTGGCTGTCTTTGGGATCTTGAGGCAGGTTGAAGTCGACAGCAGCTATCTCTACAGTGGTGGACCGGGCACTCACCGGGCCGTAACGAGGCTCACGACAACTGCACATCATGACGGCACAACACAACGCGCAGACGTTTTGTTGTTTGGTGTCTCTTCAAGGGTCAGATTCGTTCGTCCATTGACCCACCTGTTAGGGTCGGTGAAGTCCTGCAGGTGTGGATTCAACTTGACATGTGCCTGTAGACTGACCGCCACGCTCTGCGGCTCCCCCGCCAGCCGCATACCTCCCGCGATCTCCTCTACCAATCCATCGCCGGAGCTAAACGCTAAGGTACCGCCGCCACCGCGACACCCGCCACTATCCCTACTCGCGCCACCCGCACCCTCCTCCCCCATCGCCTCCTCTGGCTGCTCCTTCATCCCACTGGTCGCCGCCATCGGCCCCTCTGCCCCCAACCTGCTTTGGATGAGTGACATCAGCAGGCTGCCCGCTGTGCTGTCGTCCTCCGCTCCCTCTCGCTCGTCCGTCGGCGGCTCCTCGTTGGGCTCGGCACTGTCGTCCTCCTGCTCCGGGCCGCCCTCCGCTGTGGCGGTGCTGTCGGCGTGTGGGTCGGGGTGCGATGGTGTGCTTCGCCAGGCGGCCTGTATGTTGGTGACGGTGTTGTCGGTGGATGTGCGGAGGGCCGCGAGGGTGTGTGCGAGGGTGTGGAGGAGGCCGGGGGTGGTGGGCTGGCCCCAGAAGGTGTCCCTGGCGCCACTGGTGTCGGTGCCGATGTTGAGGAGACACAAATTCTGACCCTCTGAAGGCAGCAACAGGAGAGAGAGGGAAGGATGAGGGGCGGGGTGTGTGGAATGCATGGGTGGCGGCTCACTTGCGATGACGTCCTCTACCACTCCTGCGATGTCACCGAGTAGCTGCTCGGGGAGAAAACGCAACGGAGAATGAGAGCAGAAGGGCCGTGATTGTGTGTTGGTTTCACCGACCTGCTTGAGTTCGTAGGAGGTGTCAGCCTGCTGTGACGGTGCCGTGCCGTCGACAGACTTGGGGTCCGACCAGTCGACCATCAGAATGTGGTTCGGCCGCCCCAGCCGATTCGACACTGCAAACCACACATAACAACAGCAACAACAACAACATACACAATCCCTTCTCCTCATTCCCTCCCGTCCAACCCCTTACCGAGCAGCCTGTGGAAGCCCAGCAAGGCCTCATAGGTCCCCTTGGCATCCTTGCCCTTCTCCTCCTCTGCTTGCGGCTTGGCCGGCTGCGGCGCACACGATGGCGCGGGGCCAAACATGGACGCCAGCAGCGACATGCCTGACGCAGACGCCGCGCCAGGCATGGCAGCGATGGCCTTGAGGTCTATGGCGGGGGCGGGCGGGGGATGGGCCGGGACGGGCTTGGCATCCTTGGTGATTGTGTCGGCCACATCCAAAGGGAAGGTCAGCCGGACGGCGAATGGGTCGGGGGCTGCCGGCTTGGTGGTGGGGGCTGTCTTGGTATCGTCGTTACTGGCCTTCTCCTGCTCGCTCGTGGGCAGGTCGATTTTTACAGGGCGTGTTGATGTGTCCGGTGCCTCGCCCTTCTCGCCATGGTCATCCTCCTTTTCCCCCTTGGCCGCTTCCCCGCTCCTGACCAGTCTGCAGACGACACGCGGCCGGGGGCCGGCCTGGTGCTGCTGGTAGTAGGGGGACTGCTCGAGCAGTGTCTGGATCTTGCGCATGAGAGCGTCGGTGTGCTGCAGCTCACGCAGATGCTGCTGCTCTATCTCGGCCAAGCCGACCTTCCCCGCCTGCAAATCAGCAGTAGCAAAGATGTGTGTGGATGGATGGATGGATGCCTCGCTGTCCCCGCGCTCTCTCACGTGCATCTGCTGCCGCAGTGTGTCCTTCTGCGTGCCGTGCTGCTGCTTGTCCTTTGCGCACCGCCTCAGCTCATCCTCTATCGCCCTAGCCCCCTCCTGCGTGGCTCTCCGCTGCTTGTCAAGCGCCAAATTCTCCATGACCAGCCGGTTGCCCTCCTCACGGAGCGCATCCAGCCGGCCGGTCTTGCCATCCTTCTCGCCCCTGGCGGTCGCCTGCCGGTCCCTCCGCCCTCCCAGTGCCGTGCGAGTGTCGGCCGCCTTGGTCCTGACCTGCTCCTTGACCTCATCTCGGGCCTGGCGCAGGTCGCCCACGGCCTCCTTGGCCCGCTCGAGTAGCTCCTCGACGGCGGCTTTCTCCTCGGTGAGCTGCCGCTGCTGCTCCTCCTTGGCTGTGATCTGGCTCTCGAAGCGCCTAACGGCGGCGTGGAGGGAATCCCGGCCGCCCTCGTGCCCAGCAGGCTGCCTGATACGGGCACCTGCACCACGACCACTGCCAGCGTCGCCGGCGGCGTCAAAGGGCTTGCGATGCCGCATATCTCCGGATCGAGGGATTGCGGGGGACAAAAGATTGCCAGGACGAGCTCGCTCTGCGTATGTAAACGAATGCGTCAGCCGATCAATTATGAGCGGTCAGCCGCCAGCTCACAGCGCATTTGCGTCCATATCGCCTCCTTACTTCATGGGCGTCGCCGAAGTCGCCACAAGGATCGAGAAGCTGCCGCTGCAACAAAAGTGCTTCCTGGCCTGGCTGGCCGTGGTCTTCTTGGTCTGTTTCTGCCTCCTTGTGGTGCAGCCGGAGCCGCAGACCCTCGTCGTGACCTCACCAGAGTCTTTGCGGCGGAAGAAGGCCCTTGAGGGAACGCCCTACTCGCCAGTGGAGTGCTGCCCATCCATCGCTGGGCTGGAGAACGTTTCCTCTGCACTGCAGCCGGAACAGATGGTGGACTCGAACAAGTTCTACACGGTGACCATCTTCACTATCGGCGCTGACGTGGAGATGCTGCGGACAATGACGCGCCGAATCGGGGCCTGCGACAAGATCGACCGCATCCTGATCCTCTGGAACACAGCTGCCACGCCCCCGGAGCCATCCTTCCTGGCTGCCGGCCAGTTCGCAGACCGCATCGTGGTGGTTCAGGAGCTGCGGGACTCGCTGCAGAACAGGTTCTTGCTCGTGCCGGCACACGCGAGGACAGAGGGGATTGTGTCCATCGACGACGACATGACCGGCATCTCGTGTGAGGAGCTGGATGGGCTGTTTGACAGGTGGAGAGACGCGCAGCAGTGTGCGGTTGTGGGGCCGACGGTGAGGACCATTGAGGGGAGGGGGAGGGCCGCCATGGGTGCTGGTGCCACCAACCCTTACCTGGTCAGTGTCGGCCCCCAGCCGTATCGGCTGCTCGAGTACGTGCAGAGGGACTCCCGGCCGCCTCACCTGATCCTCACCAATGTGGCCATTTACAGCAGGTGCATGGCTGTCGTCTACAGCCACGTGCTGCCCCGATTTCTGATCGGCTATGTGGACACTCTGATGAACTGTGAGGACATTCTCTTCAACTTCATGCTGCACTCGTTCACGAGTGGGGTGCGGGTCAAGGCCAGCAGCCACCCTGACAGGCTGCACGCGCCGCGTGAGCAGCGGCACAACAGGCAGAGGCAGTCCATCAGCCTGAAGGACAAGTATGCACACCAGAAAAAAAGGGATGCGTGTGTGATGTACTTCACGCGGGTGCTCGGAGATATAAGGCAGGGCTAGCGTATAGGCATTAGTGAGCTGACGGACGGATGTGTGTGTGCATGTGTGTCGCTGTCAGCCGCAGCAGCAGCAGCAGGAGCAGCCAATGCAGGATGAGATGATGAGACATGCACACCTACATGCAACATGCAACATGCAACCATGTCGTCTGTCCGTATGAACAGGAAGGGCCTCATCGGCCGACTGGAATGTTTGAAAAAAGCGAAAAAGCCATACACATGCACACCACACACCAGCGATTTAGCGCGATGGACGCAACCTGTGGATGAACACACACCGACCGACACATACATATGCACACAGCCGACATATGCCCCCATCCATCTATCCATCCATCCACCTCTGCACCTGCATGAGCGTCATCCTGCCGTCCACGCAGTGGGCAACGGAGGGCAGGGAGGGGGGAACCACGGCACCCAGCCGCGCGGAGCAACATACGCTGTACACAAACCATGTAGGCTTAGCCAGGCGGGCAGGCAGGCAGGCAGGCAGACAGGCCAAAATCCATTGGGATGGAGCAGACACAGTGGTGAATGCGTCTGTCGGCATGAGTGCGATGGGTTCGTGTGCTCACATAGACACACAGACGTACGTACCACGCACAAACACTGGTTGACCTGCGCACGAAAAGAACTCTGAATTCCATGGACCATCAATTACAATTACCATTCAGGGCCGTTCAATAACAAATAGCTTGTGTGACACAGGGGGAGGGAGGGAGGGAGGGAGCAAGGCCACGGAAAAACCACGTGCAATGCAGCACCTGTCTGTAGCAGCATCGACAGTGCCGCCCGTCCGTCATTCTCACACCTGCATTGCACCTCAGCCGTTTCCGCTGGTCCCATCCTTTGGCCCCGCAGGCTCGTCCGCCTGCTCGCCATCGTGGTCTTCGACAAAGGCCACGGTGTCATTGTTGCTGCCGCCCTTGTCGAATGGCATCAGCTGAAACGGCATCTCGGGGTCGATGATCGGCGGCGGCTCTTGCTTGGTGGTGGACAGGAATTTGGGCTCGGTCTGACTCCGACGCTGACAAGACTGGTCCTGCACACACAAAGACAGACACACACAGCAGTGATGGGAGACGGAGAGGGAGAGGGAGAAGGGAGAGAAACGTGTGTGTCTGTCTGGCTCTAACCTCCGGCTCGTCGACTTCCAGCGGGGGGAAGTCTGGATGGTCTTCGTAGTTGAGCCCCCATCCCTCGGGCAGCGAGGTGCCGCCCACCCTGGGGAGCACCTTGCTGCTGTATGGCTGGTCATCGCCATACGTGTCGTTGTACTGCACCGTCAGACACGGGTCAAGCGACCACTGGAAAGACAGCTTGTTGCTTGTGGCCGTGAATTCATGGTCGCCGAAGAGCACGTCGGCCACACCGGCCCCCTCGGTGCCCGGCAGCCAGGCGGCGATGAAGGCGTCGCTCCAGTTGATCTCTTGATTCATGTAGACAGGCCGGCCGGAGCAGAGGATGGTGACGATGGTGATGTTGGGGTAGGTCTCCCTGACCTCTTGCAGGAAACGACGGTCGGACAGGCCGACGGGGGTGTTGCCGTGATCCCGAGACACTGGCCACTGTCGGTCGCCGAAATACTCTGGCACCCAATGACATGCACACAGACAGACAGGGAGGCAGGGAGGGAGGATGAGCCATCGGCCCACCTGTGCGTGCCCGTGTGTGGCGTGATGTATGTGGTGTTCTTGCCTGCGTATGGGTCTTCTGCCATGCAGACGATGACGGCGTCGTAGCTCTTGAGGTCAGGAATCGGTCCGCTGGTGTAGAGCGTCACACTCTCCGCCCCCACCACTTGCTTGATGCCATCGAGGATGGACTGGCCTTTGCCGAACAGGGAGTTCGGAAAAGAGGGGCTGCCTTGCCTGCGGTGTGACACACACACACACATACACACGTGGGATCAGCCCGCCGTGAGTAAGCTTCTCGCGTGGCCGCCTTTCTGATTGTCCGCATCGCATCATCTCTCTCACCGACCAGTCTTTGGTCCATCCTCCGTTCTGCAGGCCGATGCTGTCGGCACACCGCCCAGCCACCAGATACTTGCCCTTCTTGGACAGGGGGATGGGCTGGCTGGCCGCCCTTCTCTCCCCGTTCTTGAGCATAACCAGTGACTTCCGCACCGCCTCACGCGCCGTGGCGCGGTGCTCCGCCGTCTCAAATACCGATTCGACACCCGCATGTGGCCGAGAGAGTGGTGCTTTGCGCTCGGGGTAGCCCGCTGCCACAAGGGCCGGTGTGGTGAAGGCGCCGTAGAGGCCCTTGACGGTGAGGATCCTCGTGACGGCGTCGTTGATCCTCGCCATTGGGATGGCCCCACTGTTGGCCGATTGGATGGTGTTCTCGAGGAGGGTCTTCCACTGGTCACTGGAGGTCATCACAATGTCAAGACCTGCACACACACACACACACACACACACACAGCCAGCCGCATGCAGAGAGACTGTGGTGGTGTTCTATGGTGACTTCTCCTTCACCAGCCGACCCACCTGCAATGAACGTCTGGTCGCATTTGGTGGCGGAGCAGCCCTCCACCTGTGCGTGGCCATTCCAGTCGCCCACCACCAGCCCGGCGAAGCCGAGGTTCTCCTTGAGCACTTCGGTGAGCATGAACTCGTTGCCGTGTGTCTTGATGCCGTTCCACGAGCTGAAGGAGGCCATGACCGTCTGCACGCCGGCCTCGATCGACTTGAAGTATGCCGACAGGTGGGTGTCTTTCAGTTCCTGCAGCGTGGCCTTGGTGTCGCCCTGGTCCACCCCGCCCTCCGTCCCCCCGTCGCCTCCCCAGTGCTTGGCGCACGCCAGCACCCTCTCCGGACCCAGAAAGGGAAACGCACCGTCTGCCACGCCCTGCAGGCCTGAGTGGTGCAGGCAGCCGACAAACACTCACAGCTGGCTCAGTCTATCTGTGTGGGTGCACGGAAACGGATCCATTGCTGTACCTTTGATCAAGTGCGAGGCCAGATTTTGGACGATGACTGGGTCCTGCAGACACACAGAGAGAGAGGCGCACGAGCATCAATGCCCATAATGCGTCCACTGAGGCTATGTTTCTTGGTCTGTCTCCCTCCCTCCCTCACCTGGCTGTATGACTCGTATGTCCGCCCCCACCGCGTGTTTTGCGCGACAGCGTGTGTGGGCGCGAAGGCCCAGTCACACCCAGTGGCCTGCATCTCCTTGGCCGTGATGCGGCCGATCTTCTGCATGAGTGCGGGATCGTTGGCGCAGCCCAGCCCTATGTTGTGCGGGAACAGCGTGGCCTGCGGGAGGTTGCTGTGCCCGTGGATGGCGTCGATGCCGAATAGGGGGTGGATAATCGCGTCGTCCACTTTTGTGGCGGCGTTCCAGTAGGCCTGCAGAGTGGTCGCCCACTCCTTGGCGGTGTTGTCGCCCATGTCTTCGTTGCCGCCCTGCAGGTGGGATCCGATGTTGTTGGCGGCCATCTCTGCGGCAGTGATGGTGGTCTGCAGCGGCATGAGCATCTGGCCGCACTTATGCGCGACCGTCATCTTGTCCACGATCCGCGCCACCTCGCTCACAATGATCTTTGGAAGGGCCGGAGACTTGACGTCCGAAGGCCAAGTCACACCGGCTGCGCAGCATACAGACAGCATCGAGAGTGAGGTGACGCACTGCGCCGCTCACTCACGTTCTCGGTTGACATATTTGCATCTCCCGCCCTCAGTTTGGGTGAACCCGTCTCGACACTTCTCGCAGGTCTCGTTGTCCTTAGCGCACTTGTCGCAGCCGGCCACCTGGCAGCCGTCATCTGTGGGGTCTTCCACCTTCTTGCAGTCGAGCCGGGCGCTCTTGACGCCCTGCTTGAAGCCCATTCTTTCGACGGCCTCCTCGTCCTTGAGCTCACAGCGCCCATTGGTGTAGAACGAGAAGGCCTCGCAGTCGGGTGTGGTGGCACACTCGTGGTGGCACTCAGCAAGAGAGGATGTCAACCTGGTGGAAGAAGGAGTAGGAGGGTCTTGCCAGGTTCGGCTGCGTCAGAGTGCATTGCGTACGATGCCTGTGCGACGTCGTTCTGCTGCCCGTCGCCGAAGGCCACATCGTCCAACACGTTGCACCTCTGCATAGCTAAACAAAACGAAACGAAGCACACACAGGCGGGATGGATGTCCTTGACCCTTGATACCTGGAATGTCCTTTGCTTACGTTTGCACTGGTTGTCGCTGGGTGACACGAAGAACCCCACCTCGCAAAGCTGACACTCTTCCTCCCCGTCCGCCGCCTTGCCGCAGCTCCTGCACTGGGTCCTCGCCGTCGAGCACTGCTTCTCCTCCAGCCCCCCCAACACTCCACCACCGTCACCGACCAGGCCTTCAGTGCTGGCGGCCGAAGCCAGGCCCGTCGCCACACAGTCGCGCAGCCCTGACACGACTGTCAGTGAGCCGTCGCTGCTGTTTGTGAAGAGGGTAGGGGTCTCTGCTTTGCCCTTGAGGTAGCAGCCGACGTCGTGTTCCGTCTTCATGAAGGTGAAGGCCTGGCAGACGGGCCGGGAGAGGCACTTGTCGCGGCAGAGGGGGAGCTTCGACGCCTTGGGGTCGTTGATGAAGACTTCGATGTCGTATGAGGCGATGGCGCCGCTGGCGAGGCACCCGTCTGACTTTTTAAAAGGCGCCCTGGGGCTGTCGACTCCGAGGGGGATGGCTGACTCGAAGCGGACGTGCTCTTCGGCCGAAGTCAGCCCTGCGGCAACCGTCAATACGATTAAGGTCAGGTGGAACATTGACCGCGTCTCTCCAACGGCCAATCACACGTATTAAAAAATAAAAGCCCGCACACAAGAGATGGACACATGGCTCATCCGCTCTACGACGGCTGTCTACGGCGTGTCGTCGCCTGATGGAATGTGCTCCCGACTTCTCATGCGCATTTTAGTCATTGCCGTTTGTGGCGAGTATTATTCTCAACGGCCGCAGACCCCTCTTCTCTTCGCTGTCCGTCGGTGAAGCGGTCCCTGGCAGTGTTTTGTTCTCTCTTGTCGGCTTCAGTCTCCCTCGCCCCTCCCACTCAGCTGACCAAGGAGGCCTCAGTGATGCGGTCGTTTGTGCTGTCCCCCGCCGTCATGTGGCTCGTCGTCTCACTGGCAGGTGGGCACCGCCCGCACACACACCACTCTGACATTTCTCTGTCTGTCTGTCTGGCTGTCTGGTGTGCTCTCTGGCCGTCTGTGTGTGTGGTCAGCCTTTCCCTCGTGGCTGGTGCCGCTGTGTGCCGCGAGCGGTGCCGGCCTCCTCCGCCCCAACACAGCGCCCACCTTGATCAGCGCCAATGACACCACGGCCGGGGCCGAGAAGAGGCGATTGCACCCGCCAGACGTCGAGTACGCTCTCACGCACACGGCCGGCCGTGACCTCTTGACACACGTGGCTGCATGACACTGTCCTGTTTGTTTGCCTGCAGATGTGTGTTCCAAGGATCAGTTTATTCCGGAAACGGGGGACTGTGGAGGCAATCCCATACCGACCATCGTCATCAACCGGGGCCAGGTGCGCACCTGACGACACTGAGCCCATCGAGGCGATGCATCATTGGACACACACGGGGGGCGTGTGGTGTGCACTCGTGTGTCGTGTCAGATTCGAATCGGGGTCATTGAGGAGCTGCCCGAGGGTCCTTTCAATGCTGACGGTGTAGTCGCAGTGGCCTCCATTGGCGGTGATCCCGTGGATCAGACGGGTGACGATGTGATGAGCGTCTCAGTGGTAAGCACAGCGCACATTCTGTGTCTATGGCCGTGTGGATGACCCGACTCAATGCAGGAGGTTGGCGATCAAGATTGGTTATTACCGTCGTCGATGGGATTACGACTATCGAAGTCGAGAGTTTTGATGAGACGTACCATGTCAACATCGTGGTCACGTTCCACGAGGGCGCGAGCCGCCCTAACGGCTTCTGAATACGTATTTCGGGCTGTTGAATGCTTGGAAGATGAGGACTGCTGTGATGAGGGAGACCCGGAAGAGTGCTTAGAAGAGTGTAACGAGAACTTCAGGTGTGAATCTTTTGCGGAGCCCGGAAAAAGGCGACGGGTGTGACAACAACTTCAGGTGTGAACTGTGTCCGCCTTAGACTGTGAGCGT